CCTATTATAGTTGTTACTCTAATTTTATAAATCTTATTATTATCATCATTTTATCATTATTTTCATTTATTTTTAAAATTGTATTTTTCATTCTCAACATTACTATTATGACTTATTGTTGTTTTCCTTAAAAAAGATTGTTGTTGCTTTATTTCAATTTTCTTACATATGAAGCTTTTTATATAATATACAAGGTATTTAATTAGAAGCTCAAAAGAATTAATATAAAGGCAAAAAATGATAAAATTTGGCCAAAAGAGTTCTAAACTATTCGGTCAATTGGCGCATCTTCTTTTTTCAAAAACGCAGGTCAAAATTTGTCCAAAGTTAGGCCCAAAGCATAGAAGCCCTTTAGAATTAGGTTATATTAGATTTCTCAAAACAAAACCTCCGAAAACCTACTTCTCATCAGCCGCTACACTCCATCTCTTTTCCTGTTTTCTTTGAGAATATGTCCACCCCTATCTCAATATTGGCAGGCTATGCATGATTATTTTTATGCAAAAATGTGTTGCTATTATCCTCTATATTTAGTTTTTAAGTGGCCAATCAAGGCAAGAAGACAATGAATTTTTTTGACATTTTATTTCTCTAATCAGAAGAATCGATTTTTAGATACTCGAACAACTTTTATTCTAAATTCAAATAGATACTTTCGATTCCCACTCAAGGAACTCTAAATCTAAGTTTGTCCTTTAAATACTTGAGTTTGGATTTTATTTTGGACATGTTTTGATAAGCACAAGTAGTATTATGAAAGTCTTAAATTTTGATATCTTATTGTGAAGTACACTTTCATCATTAAACTACTACTTTAAGCTTTTATTTCTTTATATGTCTTCATTTTGTTTTTGTTGGTTTGTGTCCATAACAAATACATTTAAATTTATTATGGTTCGAAATCTGTTCTTGAGGAGATAGATCTAAAGCTTTGCTAGTTCTGCCTAGTTCACTACCAAGAAATACCGTTAGATTTATTATGAACTCTTAAATTTTTGTAGAAATTTATCAAAATTTACGAGCTATAGGATCTGTTAGAACTTAGGAGCAATGGGATCTGTTAGCTAACGCTACGTTATAAAATCTTATAATATATGTATATATCGGTTCTATTTTTATTATAAACACATAGATTTTATTGAGATATATGATTGGATAGGATAATTGACTTTTTATCTGGTGCCTTTTTTAATTGTCGATTGAGTTATCTAATGAATACAAATTATATTTTTTGTGCTTGGGTTGATTGATTAGAATAAGATTTTGAAGAATGGAGTTTCCACCCCTAGAAAGATAGATGAAAATAATATGCATGATATTGAACCTGCAAACCTACAAAAACAGGTGGTAGATTAAGAGGAATTCACTGTGTTGTGTGGTAGATGTTTCAAATGAGGATACGTACCTGCAAAGGTGATATATGAAAAGATGAGGGTACACATGCATGAACATCCGTTACTACGGTTCAGTCAATTACTACGGTTCTGTCAATTACTTCCCTGGAAAGTAAAAACAATAAAAGGGGGGTTTCTATTTCTAAATGAATAAAAATAACTAACGAAATTGAAAGAGATACTTAACAGCTTCGAATGTTGGAGTTTATTCAATAAATCAAAGTAACTAGGGTTTACGTGTTCCCCACAGGTTCATAACTTGATAATTCTAACTATAACAATTCTTTCCTAGTATCTTGCATTCAAAGTGATAAGTTATGCATTTCTAAATCCTTGTTCCGGTATCTAGAAAATTTCACTCCGCACCTTGGTCCGGCTACGTGTGTTTCTATCCTAACCCTAATCTTTACCTCATATTAAGCATCGTATTCAATTTTTGACTAAGTTATTACCTCGTACCAATCAATACTAGCCTATTAGATATTATACACTAAATATATGTTGATAATTCTTCTCCTATTATGTAGGTCCTTGGTCCGACAAGTAGCATTATGGCGAGTTCTAATGTTTGCCATCCGTTAAAAAGACATCTAAGCAAAAGAATTATTAATACATGCAAGACACTATTCTAGAATTGTTATTTTAGTTAGGTTTTACCTCATTATTTGTCTATGGTTCACACAACCCTAGTTATGGAGTTTAGTTACCCATAGTCATAATCACAATATTCAAATATATTATAAAAGAATTCATGTACTTACTTCAATGAGAAAGAGTAAAATCCGAATGTTTGCTTTATTACCGCGATCCGCGAAAAGTCTATTAGTTGAATGGCATGAAGAGGGATATAGCAGACTTTGTGAGTAAGTGCCCCAATCACCAGTAAGTCAAGGTAGAACATAGGAAACAAGGAGGTATGACTCAAGAGATCGATATTCCTACTTTGAAGTGGGATGTGATAAATATGAATTCCATCACAGGGTTACCTCGTACTCACAGACAGCATGACTCAATTTGGGTGATAGTTGATAGGATGACTAAGTCTTCTCGCTTTTTGGCAGTCAAGACTACATATTCGGCAGAGGACTATGCCAAGCCTTACCTTTCTAAAATTGTGAGGTTGCATGGGGTTCCTTTGTCTATCATCTCAGATAGAGGTCCTCAGTTTACCTCTCATTTCTGGAAGTCATTTCAAAAAGGTCTTGGTACGCAAGTTAACCTTAGTAAAACATTTTTCATCCACTGATGAATTGGCAGGTAGAGCGTACAATTAAGACCTTAGAGGATATGTGAGAGCTTGTGTGATCGATTTCAAAGGTAGATGGGATGATCACCTTCCTCTTATTGAGTTTTCCTCAATAATAGCTGCCATTCCAGCATTCAAATGGCCACTTATGAGGTTTTATATGGGCGTAGATGTAGATCTCCTGTTGGTTAGTTTGAAGTAGGTGAAGCAACTTTGATAAGGCCAGATTCAGTCCTTTATGCTATGGAGAAAGTGCAATTTATTAGAGAAAGACTTATGAAAACCCAAAGTCGTCAGAAATCTTATCCAGATGTAAGGAGAAGGGAAATAGAGTATCAAGTTGATGATTTGGGCTTTTCTGAATGTCTAACCTTTGAAAGGGGTAATTAGATTTGGAAAGAAAGGAAAGCTAAATCCAAGATATGTAGGTCCCTAAAATATCTTAAAAAGAATTGGCAAGGTGGCATATGATTTAGAGTTGCCAGCAAAATTAGCAGAAGTGCATCCGGTCTTCCACATCTCACCCTTGAAGTAGTGCCTGGGTGACCCAACCTCTATAGTGCCATTAGAGAGTATGGCGGTGAAAGATAGTATTTCTTATGAGTATGTACCAGTTGAGATTCTTGACTGTTAGTTTAGAAGCTTGAGAAAAAAAGAAGTCATTTCAGCCAAGGTTTTGTGGAGGAGTCAGTCCGTAGAGGGAGCTACTTGGGAAGCAGAAGCAGCCATGAAAGCCAAGTATCCTTACCTTTTTCCTTCCGGTTGCACTTCAGTTTGAGATACTAGTTCCTCTTCAGTTTTACAGTCATTCATGCGTAAATTCAGTTTTAGAATCATGCTCCCTCCGTTTATACTTTCATTTGTAGCGTAATTGTATGTACTCAGAACTCTTTTTAGTCAGAACTTAGTTCTTATTGTTTAGTAGTGGGGTTTGCATCTCTCTCCCTCTATTTCAGCTAGTTTAGTCTTTAATCGAGGACTAATGTTCCCAAGGGGGAGATAATGTAACACCCCGTAGCCAAAAAAACCAAAAAATAGTTTTTCAGAAAAATTTGCAAGTGCTACCAACGGTGGCATCGACTGAACGTAGCGTGCACCACAGTCCATCCTGCACAAGCGTCGATGGTATAAAAAACTCACAAAAATTTCAGCCTAGAAAAATTGGTTAAGTCATGGACGACGAACGGACTTATAGTCCGTATTTCAAACGACGGTCCGTAGTCTGTGAACGTTGATCAAGACTACCTTCAACCACTCTCTGACAAGAGCCATGGATGACCAACATAGTTCCTAGGTGGTCCTATTGTCCATAGGTGGAAAATTTGCAGCCTGTTAAGGGGAAATACAGTTGGGTAAACTTAAAATGATCATAACTATGCGGAAAAAATAAATTTTATATCCCATGACCTACCCACAAATAGATAATTGAATTATTTTTCAGTAGCCACCGAATAGGCCCTCACGACGGACCCAATGATGAGCCATTGGGCGCACGACGGAACGTCAGTCATGGCCGTCGTGATGCCAAACAACAACCTTCCAGGGGTCTTTTTGACCTTTCCCACTCTGTTTAAACCCTAAGTTACATCATTTTGATCCTAAATCATCAGATTTTAGTCAGTTTAAGCCTAGAAACATAATAAAAACCTATCCAAATCAAATCATTAAATTAAAACATATAAAATTTAAAGCAAGAGAGGAGAAAAAAAGTTCAAGAACACTAGTTAATAAATGCCACAAGCTCCAGCAGTTCCAACCCCAAAACTTAAGTATTTTTCCGTGGATTTCATCACCAGGTATGTGAGATTTCGCTAGTGGGTTCCTTTAACCCATTGGGTCCTTAGTTTTAGTCAAATCTTGATTCTCTTATCATGATTAAACTTAGGGTTTCTAGAACTTTGATATAACTTCATAAATTTATTAAATATATGTTCCAAAGTAGATTATCATGTTATTACTTAGATTATCTGATGAATTTCAGAACCCTAGCTTTGTATTTCTTTAGTTCTTGAATTATACATGCTAGGTCATATATTGCAGACACTTCAGATATATATGACTCAATTATAAATGTATAATTACCAGATTAATTGTTGAATTCTCAGTTTGCATGTTAAGTTTTGAGCTATCAAGTATTTATAGAAATTCAGATGTAATTAGTTAATTTACAGAATTCGTTGGGAGTAGCATAATACCGAGTTGGAGTAGGATTTAGAGTACCTTATAGTCCCAGAACTACTAGCCTAGTAAGTTGTCAGTCCCCTCTGTGGTAAATCAGTTTAGTGATCACGCCAGCATGCCTTTATACCTCTGGCAGGGTATATTGGGTCCTCTCGATGGGGCGTATACATCGGACTCCACATTTAGCTCATGTGGTTTTATTATCAATTATTAGTAGCTCCCACAGTTCAGTCAGACTCTCCGCATTGACCATTTATCAGTTTATTCAGTATTCTATTTCAGCATGTTATAAATTGGTCATTGCGTCCAGTTCTCTCAGAAATCAGAACATCACGTTCATATTATTATACTTGTTTTTTTCTTGTTTAGTTATGTTTTATTTAACCTTTACTCTATCCGACAGGCTCAGTACCTTTCAAGTACTGGCCCATACGTGTGCTACATCTTGTCGTGATGTATGTTCAGGTTCTCAGCATCCAGATCACGCATAAATCGATTTCCCGATCTCAAGTTTAGCAGATTTAGTGGTGAGTCCTCATTCTTCGAGGATAACAATCATGAGTTTCATTTCAGTCTTTAGTCATTTAGTTTCAGTTGTTACTTGATTTAGCTGGGGTTTATACGAGTATTTCTAGTCTAGTTTAGAGGTTATATTCAGACATAGTTAGATTACGCTTAGTATTGAGTTAATATTTCTTTTGTATTAAACTCATTGTTTTCAAATATCACAGTTATAGAATATGAGTATTCCCCATCTTTTCATTTTAAGTATGATTTACCTTCCGCAACAGTTTATTATCTTTAGTATGCTCATGATCATGCCAGCAGGGTTAGCTTGGCATCACTTGTAGTCCTAGGTTCCGAGTTCGCGTCTCGAGGGTAGCTCGTGGCATGATATTGTGAGTATTATTGAGCACCGATATGGGAATGAGTTCATACAACTAACAGCCCCCGCACAAACCATGAAGTAAACCTGGGTAGAAAGGGTCATACTTTTTATATGATTCCTTAATTATTTAAGCATAGACTAGTGGATCCACTTAGTATTAGGTTCTATACCCCGACAAAGTATAGGGCGACTCTGGCAGCGTGAATTAGATGTTGTACCATCACATAGCTCGTAGTGCTGGTTGTCAGTTAGAGAAAGTCTCATAGACATCTTTTTTATTCTTATATACACAGAGTTATATGGTATTTTGTATGCAAACAAAGTTATTATTGTGTTTTTCAATACATTATGTTGCTAATGATCATTTGAAAATCGTTCCAAATATTTCATCTTTTATTGTTGCATTATATTGAGTTAAGTATCCAGTGTTGAGTATCTTATTTTTGAGTTGAGCCCTATTTATCATTATTGGGTTTAGCCTTATTTCACAGATTGAAGTATCTCATTATTGAGTTGAGTCTTATTTCATTGAGTTGAATATCTTATAATTGAGTTGAGCCGTATTTTCTCTGTGTTGCGTTGAACTATGTTTGTTTGAGTTGAGTTAGCTTGAGTTAAGTTGAGTAAAAATAAGTATGTTTATTTACCATTAGTTCAAGCTTATGTTAATGCTTTAGAATTCCCCTTGCATGCTCGTATATTTTATGATGCAGATACAAGTATTCAGGGTCATCAACAGAAGTTTCTGTGATACCACTTGTAGTTCTAGTCAGCTTTAGGAGCCTTCTTATATTCTGAAGTACTTCACCTTTATCCTACAATAAGTAGTTTTAAAATGTCGTGGGTCTTGTCCAGATATCCTTTTTTAATAGTAAAGGCTTTATAGATAGACAAAGTTAAGAAGTTTTAAGTATGTATCTTCATTGAGTAGTTTTTAGAAACTCTAAGTTATCTATTGAGTACTGTTATGATTAATTCAAACTTGAGTTAATTGAATTTAATTCACTTTTTAAGCTTTTACATGCTAAGTTAGTCTTCCACTTGTAGTCATCCAGGATGAGGGTTTGCTTGGGGACCAAAAATGATTCTCGAGTGTCGGCCACGTCCAGGGTGTAGGCTCTGGTCATGCCAAATTTTGTTTCAGAGCACAGAATTGAAGTGTTCTAGGGTGTCTCGGCAGCCGTATCAAGGAGGATATTGTTTATGGTTCTCAGAGACCCACTTCTATAAATGAGGGACTATTGAAATTTAAGAAAAGTTTCCCTTTTTTCATACTCTTAATGGTGCAATAGAGTTATGTCATAGATATTTATTCATACTCGTGCGTTTGTCAGATTCATTCAACTAACCCCTCATATTAAAGATGGTTGAAAAGTAAGTCAAAGAGCCTTATAGATGAAATATTCTTAGCAAGAGTCTGAGGAAGTCATGGGACTCTAAAGAGATTGAGAGAAGTTCATGAGTGAGTTAAGTGTTGAGTTCCATAGGAATGCAGCCATGTTCTTATAAATTGTGTGTTCAAGCTTAAAGTGAGATGTAATTTCTTCCCTAAGCCTTGTTCCAGGTGAGATCCTTATGAGTAAGTATGGTAAAGCTTGGGTAGTATTTTCTTTTGAAAAGGTAGCATGAGTAACGAGAGCATAAGAAGTAGTAATGACAGTTCCTATAATTTGAGGAGTGTATGATGAGGTTTAGTAATCTAAGAAAGGGAGATATTGATGAGGAATACTAGGTTATTATAGTCATGCACTCAATAAGTTATTGCTGAAAAGTTTTCCCTTATGGGTAGACTAAGAAGTGATTAGTTGTTAAGGTCTTATGGTAGGAGGTGGAGCAAGAGTTGCTAGTCAAGAGGATATAGAGTATATTTTTTTTACCAGAATAGAGTTTATGTAGATTTGCCATCATTTGAGGAGGCTAAATATATATGTTGGGTAGAAGCACAGAGTATCATAAAGTGACAGATCTATCTAGGCTTATGATTTGTTTGAGAGGGTCATAATATTCAGAAGGTTATAAAACTAATCAAGTGTTGAGGTATAGTATAGTAGAAGAGCAATCATATTGATATACGGGTTTAGTAATGAATATTAAGCTTGAATTTGAGATGAGTTTCATGATCCAAAGAATGGAAACATGAGGGTGATGATGTTAGTCTTGAGATTTGATCTAGAAGACTAAACGAGAAGTAGGTAAGGAATTGAGATGTAAGTTTCAATAAATATGAGTGGTACAAGTGATAGACCCTAAACTTTAGATAATGGCAGTGAAGTGGTTGCTAAGCACACGAATAACAAGAGCATTAAGAGGTGTACCGAGATGGTGTGTAATCAAAAAAGGTTCAAATTAAGTCATAATTGTCCAGGTGTTCGTAGATAACCTAATTGAGTTTTCAATGTGGAATAATTCCATAGCTTTAAAGTTTTAGGTTAAGAACTAACGGGGAAATTATAATATGAGAAATCAAGTCAAGTGTTGATAATAAGATTGTATTAAGTTCAGGTAGGGGATATATCTTTTCAGAGATCTTTGTAGTAGTAGAGTGATGTTACATGGAGAAGGTTAATGATCTTATTGTGATTTAATGGTGTGATAATTCCATCTAATGTAATAAATGCGGGGGAAGAGGTTGATGAGGTTTTACTATGAGAAATTGCTAAATGAGAGCCCTTTGTTGGTTTCCTATAACAATATGGGGAACTCTAGTTAGTATGTGATGAGTCCACAAATTGAACTCATTTAGGGATATATTCTTATATATTTAGTGTCCTCAAATGTGTATTTGTCTTAATAACTGATATAAATCCTTAAGTTTTAGGTAATTTGGAGTTGAGGCAAACCATGGACATTAATTGGCAAAAAGGAACAAAATGGCTGAAAAGATGAAGAATCGAAGGCCTGAAGATCACCGAGTCCTCTTGGAGAGTCACCAATAGGAATGGATATTGCCTTTTGTTCCAATGTGCTGAGCCCGAAAGGAAATGATTAAGTCGGCCGTGAAAAGGAGCGGTCAATGCAACACCGAGCAGTTTCGTGAAGCAGTATTATGTCACTCAACGATCCAAAACACGACGTTGTTGAAGGCTAGATCGAGACAACGATGAACTATAATTACTTGCTGAGAGTTGTAGCTGAATATAAGAAGATATTGAATTTTTAGCTTTGAATGGTAAACTTATATATTTTTCTTCTATTTTATGCGTTCTAAGTCTGAGAGGGTTTTGAAGAACTTGAATATTTAAAGGGGTTCACCTCTGAGAATTTGGATTTGGGTCTCTTGGATTCTTCCTTTTTGGCTTGGACCAAGACTTAAATCATGATTACCCATTTGAATGCAAACTCATTTATGTATGAATTTCTCTCTCTTATTCATGTGTGGCCAAAATAACCAATTCGTTGGGTATAATTTTGTGAATATAGGGTAAATTGGTTATTATGTCTAGCTTGCTAATAGTTTATTCGTAATTTAATATTTGTAGATGAAGTTAATGAGGTTGTAATTTAAAATATAATCTCATCTATGTGTTTTAGGTTTACAAGAGAGAGAGAGATATGTCATAAAACTAAGACACTAAATTGATGACCACTGGGATTGGGTCGACATGAGGTTCAACTCTAGAGAGTGAACCCTACTCTCATTCCCACACACTCAACTCGAGAGAGTGAGTGGGATAAGGCGTAGCATTCTCTTCAAACGAAAATTGGGTTTTCAAGAGAAATCCATTTGAAATGGGGTAAGTTGTTCGATAGAAATCTTATGTCCATTAAAGTCTAGAGCCTAATCACAAATATTCTACAAATTCTTTATTTAAATCATGCACCTGATAATTTAGTTTATCCTATATTCCTATCAGATCCCAAGAACCCCTATTTCATTGATAAGTATTTTTTGTTATTTTTTTTGGTTTTACTCTTTACCTAATAAAAAAACACCATTGTTATTTGAATCTTGTGTCACCCCTTATATTTATTATGTCTTTTATCGATAATGTTTTAAGCTATAGTTAATTAGAACTACTTCTTAATTTTTATACTATATTCTCAACTACGAACTGCTTCCTTGGGACTCGATCCCAACCCTAGGTTGGGTTATATTATTGCTTACAATTGTTGGACCTCGTACTGGAGGTAGTGTCTTGATAACCATGATGGTTCAAAGGACTTATCAGTATGGAAAAGATGATGAGAATTTCTTAAGGATATGGTTAGTAGGACATGGAGTTGTTAGAGTTATAAACTTGAATGTGGTGTTGTTAAACATTAGGCGATTTATTATGATCTCGTAAACTTTTGTAGAAATTTATCTGAATTTAGGAGCTACGAGATCTATTAGAACTTAGGAGCAATGAGATCTGTTAGCTAATTCTACATTTTAAACTCTTTTAATATATGTACATACCCGTTCTATTTTTATTATAAACGCATAAATTTTACTGAGATATATAATTAGATAGGATAATAGACTTTTTTATGTTGTGCCATTTTTTATTGTCGGTTGAGTTATCTAATGAATACAAGTTATATTTTTTGTCCTCGGGTGGATTGATTAGAATAAGAGTTTGAATAATGGAGTTTCCACCCTTAGAAAGATAGATCAAAACAATATGCATGATATTGGACCTTCAAACCTACAAAAACAGGTGGTAGATTAAGAGGAATTTACTGTGTTGTGTGGTAGATGTTTCAAATGAGGATAAATAATATCTGAAAAGATAAGGGTACACATGCTGGAACATCAATTCTATTGTGAAGAAACTAAATAGTGGCGTGCTAATATAGCAATATGATACCCCGTAGCCAAAACAGATCAAAAATTAGTTTTTCTGAAAAATCTGCACGTGCTACCAACGGTGGCATCGATGGACCGTTGCCAGAACCACAGTCCGTCCTGCAAAATAGTCGATGGGATCAAAAAAACCCAAAAATTTTAGCCTAATAAAATTGGTAAATTCTTGGACGACGGACACACTAACGGTTCGTAGGTCAAACGACGGTCTGTAGTACGTGACCGCTGATCAATACTCCCTTCAATCACTCTCTAAAAAGAGCTATGGATGACCATCATGGTTCGTAGGTGGACCTACGGTCCGTAGTCTTAAAATTTGCAACCAGTTAAACAAAAATGTAGTTGGATAAACTTAAAATGATCATAACTCTTAGAACAAAATTAATTAGCTCTCCCATGACCTACCAACAGATAGATAATTGAATTATGTTTCCATAGCCACCGTCCTTGCTAAAATCAGACTTCCGAGTAAAATGTTATGCCCATTTTAGTAAAGGGTTGTTGAACAAGACCTAACGACAGACCCAACGATGGGGCATCGGATGCGCGACGGACCGTCAGTCCTGGCCGTCGTGAGGCCTGACACCAACTTTCCAGGGGTCTTTTTGACCTTTCCCACTTTGTTTAAACCCTAAGTTACATCGGTTTGACCCAAATCATAATATCTTAGTCAGTTTAAGCCTAGAAATATAATTAAAAATATCCAAGTCAAATCATTAAATGAAAACATAGAAAATTAGAAGCAAGAAAGGAGAAAAAAGCTCAAGAACCCTAGTTCATGAACACCACAAGCTCCAGTAGTTCCAGCCCCAAAACTTAAGTATTTTTCCGTGGATTTCGTCACCAAGTATGTGGGGTTTCAGTAGTGGGTTCCTTTCACCCATTGGGTCCTTAGTTTCAGTCATTTCTTGATTCCCTTATCATGATTAAACCTAGGGTTTCTAGAACATTGAGATACCTTCATGAATTTATTGAATATATGTTCCAAATCAGATTATCATGTTATTACTCAGATTATTGCGTGAATTTCCTGACCCTAGATTTGTATTTCTTTAGTTCTTGAATTAAACATGCTAGGTCATATATTTCAGACACTTCATCTATACATGCTGCTGTTATAAAAGTATAATTACCAGATTAATTGTTGGATTCTCAGTTGGCATTTTCAGTTTCGAACTATCCAGTATTTAGAGAAATTCAGATATAATCATTTATTTAACAAAATTCATTAAGAGTAGCATAATACCGAGTTGGACTAGGGTTTAGCAAACCCAATGGTCCGAGAACTACTAGCCGAGTAGGTTGTAAGTTCTCTCTGTGGACAATCAGTTTTGTGATCACGCTAGCATACCTTTATACGTTTGGCAAGGTATATTGGGTCCTCTCGATGAGGCGTATACGTTGGACTCCACATTTTACTTATTTGGTTTTATTATCGGTTATTAGTAGCTTCCACTGTTCAGTTAGACTCTGTGCATTGATCATTTATCAGTATATTTAGTATTCAATTTCAGCAAGTTATAAATTGGTCATTGCATCTAGTTAGCTCAGAAATCAGCACATCACGTTCATATTATTATACTTTTTTTGCGCTTGTTAAGTTATGTTTTATTTCATCTTTACTCTATCCTACATTCTCAGTACCTTTCAAGTACTGACGCATATGTATGCAACATCTTCTCGTGATGTAGGTTCAGGTTCTTAGCATTCAAATCACACATAGATCGATTTCCCGATCTCCAGTTTAGCAAATTCAGTGGTGAGTCGTCATTCTCCGAGGAAACATACATGAGTTTCATTTCAGTCTTTAGTCATTTAGTTTTAGTTTTTGCTAGATTTAGATAGGGCTTGTCCCCGTATTTCTAGTCTAGTTTAATGGCTATTTTCAGACATATTTAGATTCACCTTAGTATTGAGTTAATATTTATTTTGTATTAAACACATTGTTTTTAAATATCTCAGTTATAGAATATGGGTATTCCCCATGTTTTTATTTTAAGTATGATTTAGCTTCCGCAACAGTTTATTATCTTTAGTATGGTCATGATCATGCAGTAGGGTTTTCTTGGGATCACTTGTGGTCCTAGGTTCCTTGTCCGCGTCTCAGGGGTAGCTCAGGGCATTACACATGTGATGATACATATGATGTCATTCAACTTGAAAGCTAACTGTGGAATACTAGGCTTATTAAAAGCTCATAATTTTTGTTTTTATGAGACATCATGTGTATTGTCCAATCATATATAGATGTCAATACAGAAGTCAATATCCCTATCTGGTGGCATACCAGGAAGATCTGCAGGGAACACATCCAGAAACTCACGGACCACCGAAACCGACTCAATCGAGGGTACTTGGGTAGTGTATTCCTTGAGATGTGCCAAGAAAGCTAAACACCCTTTACTAACCATTTTCTTAGCACGAAGAAAGGAGATGATACGCACCGGATTGGAAGTGTAGTCATCCTACCACACTAACGGATCTGTCCCAGGCTTGGCTAACGTCACCATTTTAGCA